CATACACTTTTGTAGCTCTAGCAGTCTCCTATTGACTGTCAAAATTTCAGATATAATGGACATCAGGATCGAAAGTTATGATCCAAATACTAGGCAGTATCCAAAAATTCTTTTTATCCAAATTCTCTCTGAAGTGTGCTTTAATTCCGAGATACTTCCTAACTTTATTACAACCCATATTACCTCTCCCAATGTTTCTCGATCTTCCAGATTCAATGGACATCTTATTTTGACGTAAAAGTATTTAGAAACTCACCTACAACCTCTTCCAAGTTTACACACCTTCAAAACTTAAACTTAACAATCCATTTGTCTCCCAAATATTTATTTTTACTGTTATAGTCTATGTAATTCATTCTTACGTCATTATATATATTAGAATTACTAAACAATTATATTATTTTATTAATATAAACATATAGGGGTTTACACTCGATCCTGGGGTAGTCACTCTTATACAGGTAGGTGTCTTAAGTGCCTTCTTTAGCTAAATTCTATAATGACATGTCCTCATTGTATTTTTGTTGCGCAGGTGCACCTGATCTGGACCTGGTGGAAATGATGAAGGTTGAACAGATAATCCATGTTGAGCCTAATTCCTTTTCTGAGCTGGTGAGATTAGAGAATCTTTTCTTGTTCAGTGTTGTAGTAGCCACTCTGAATTTTTCTTCTTTCCCAGGTTCTCCCGATTCCTATTCTTCCCCTTTTGAAGCAGTTGAGGATGAGACCATTGGAACATCTTCAAGAAAGCGTAAGAGGAGCAATTCTCCTGGCGGTTCCTTTTCTTCATCATCTGGGTCCTCTTTTGGGGCAGTTTTGCTATCTTCTGCTGAGGGAAAACTCCTAAATATACTTTCAAAAATGGAGAAGGAGAGAGGCGGGCTGAGGGAGGAGAATGCTCGCCTACGAGCTGCAAATGATTTGTTGGAGGAGGAAGTTACTGAACTAAAGAGGAAGCTTGGGGGGATGTAGGATTCTTTGTTCTTTCTTTTTTCCACTTCTTTGTACCCCATCACACACATTGAGTGGTCTTAGGTTCAAGTTTATGATGAGAAAAAGGTTTAAGTAGGTAACAAGCATAACCAAAACTTTTAGGTGCTAAATAGACAAAAATGGCTTTATGAAGAAGTTCATAAGGGAACTTGTTGCCTGTGTTTCTGCTAGGCATTCTGTTGATTAAGTAAGTAACTATAGCAAATGCATGGAACCAGAATTCATAAGGCAAAGAAGCTCTGGCTAGTAGAAGAAGGCAGTTTTAGTGATGTGTATGTGCTTCCTCTCAGCAATACCATTTTGTTGAGGGGTATAATGGTACAATTTATTGTTGAAGGGTACAAGAATAGGATTTGGTGTGATGAATGCCAAGAGAATTGATAGAGGTTTGAAGTTGAGAGATAAGATATTCACCATCTTTATTAGAGTCAAAAACTTTAATGGAGTGATCTAATTGTTTTTCCACAAAAAGGTTTGAATTGAGTAAACATAGAATAAGCATCAAATTTATGAATTAATGGAAAAATCCAAGTAAATCTACTATAGTCATCAAGAAAAAAAATATAAAACTTGAAACCATGAAAAGAAACATGAGGGGAGGGACTCCAGTCATCACCATGAACAGTATTTAGAGGTGTTTCAAACACCGACTTAGAAACAGAAAATGGTAGTTTGACCATTTTGCCATACAAACAATATTCACAAACACAAGAACTAGAACATATAACATGTGGTATAGTGGACTTGGAAAGAATCTGATGTAAAAAAGATAAGCAAGAGGTGATATGGAAGATTGGTTGGAAGCATGGATGGGATACAAGCCATTGCTACTCTTGTCTTGGTAAAGGATTTGCCCTGTGGTTTTGTCCTGAATAGAAAAAAGTGATAATCAAACAAGAATTGACAATTATTATCAGCACAAAATTGTTTTACTAATAGTACATTGGTGGCAATAGAAGGTACTCTTAGAACATTAGTGAGTTTGAAAGAATGAAAGGGAGTATGAAGAGATATTTGACTGTTATGTTTAATAGGAAGTTCATGACCATTTCCAATAGAAACGTTGTCATCTCCAAAATAAGGGGAAGAAAGAGAAAGATCTTTAAGACTGGAGGTGAGATGATGAGAAACACCGTGTCAGTAAGCTAATAGCAAGGATTGAGATGACTAGATGCAGTCAGAGTAGAGTACTGAGAAGACTTCTTAGAAATAGCATCTGGAGAAAACGACTACTGAGTGTTATAATGGATATTCAGAAGAAGCCACCATAGCATTGAATTAAGGGAGGTGAAGACTGAGCTTGATAGGCACTATTCGTGTGATGATATCAAGTAAAAACACTATGGTCAAATTTACCACAGAGTTGAAAAAAAACTTGAGGCTTCTATGAATTGTAATTAGATCTAGAATTCTGAGAATAAGATCTATTGCCATAGTTATTTCAGCCTCCTCAATTAGATCCACGAACTCTTTGTTAGAACCTCTATGTTGACTAGAATTGTTACGAGGGGAGTTGTTATCATAAAATTTTCCTTGTGAAGCAGCCATGGCTAATGGAGTGAAAAAGGCTTGTTGTGATATAGAAGTGGTTGTAACAGAGATTTCTTCTACTTTTAGTAGAGAATGAAGATCTTCCAAGGATAGAGGTTGAGATCTAGTTCAAATAGCTATTCTGAAAGCACTATATTCAGGCAACAATCCATTGAGTGTGTACAGAAGTATGTCTTTATCTTCAATCATATCAGAAATTGCTTGAAGCTTGTCTCTAGTCTCTTTGATTTTCTGTAAGTAGGCATCAATAGAATCTGAGCCTTTGGTAATGGTTTGAAGTAGAGACTTGAGTTGAAGAATGTTAGCTCTAGATTGTGAAGAAAATCTTCTTTTCGATGCAAGACATACATCTTGAGATATAGTATAATCTACAAAATGTGCAATAGTAAAGGATGATAATGTAGCATTAACAAGATGCATAACTGCTTGATCTTGAATAATCCACTGTTGATACCGTGGATTGATCTCTGTAGTAGCAGTACCTATTTCATCTAGAACATATTTGAATGTACAAGGAAATGATCCACTAAGAAAACCAATTAGAGAATAAGCTCATAACATAGTTAAGATTTGAAATCTCTAAGAAACTTAGTCGGCAGAATCAAGCCAAAGATAAATAAGATTGAAGATATTGGAAAGTAGATTTATAGATGAATGTGATGGAAGAAAGGTCATAACATAAGGTATAGTCTGAGAAGAAAAGAATGAGCATGTAGAAGATGAAGACGAAGAACTTGTCATTGAAGCAGTGGAAGCTATGTTTGTCATTCAATCATACATTTGTCTTTGAATTAGCTTCTGATACCATGATAGAATCCATAGTTCATTTAAGAAGAAGAAGAACAACAAAACCAAAGAGAAGGAAGAGAGAGAGAAGTCAAGAGACTCTTATTTTCATTCAAATCATACTGTTATGTACACACATGAATATATATACATAGTCTTAGTTACAATGCCAGCTAGGACTAACTAACTAACTGAATGGAATGCAACTTGCAGATGAGGTGAGCAGCTTCAGTAACAGAATTGTATTCCTTCACGTGCTACTGCAAATGGCTGATATAAGAGCAATGCTTGTGTGTAATACTGGTGTTGGTTAATAAAAGTTACTCGAAGAATAGAATTAAAGGCTTAGACAGTAAAGACATGGAAGACATCATATGCCTTCTTCTTCTACTTTTTGGTTCAATGGTCAAAGATGTTCAGACCAGCTTATGCGTGTCTCAATTAATCCTCTTTCCGGTCCAGTCAAAGACAGGTCATCCACATTAGAATTAGGATATTCATGAAGGATAAATTTCTCATGGTCTGACCCTAAGGGTCTGTTTGGTATGTATTTTGAGAGGGGTTTGGATTGGCTCGTCCAAACCCGGGTTTAACCCAAAAATGAGATTCAAATCTAGGATTCAACATTCAATATTGTTCATACTCATGTTTGGTATGCGTAGAGATATATGACTATTATGATAATATATTTGAATATAAATAGCTATTATGTCCATTAACCAATTTGTGTATATGAGGGTATAAATGTCATTTGTATGTTAAACCCATTAACCCGCATATGAAACCCACCCCCCTTGGATTTCATGATCGGGCCAGGTTTCAAACCCTAAACTAAATGCATAGTTACCAAACATGGGTTTAAGGGGGTTTAGTCCCCAACCCAAGATCTAAGAACCCCCCAAACCCACATATCAAACATGTCCCAAGCGATAACCAATATTCAAACTCAAAATATTTGAATTTACAATTTATCCTTGTTACCACTTGACCTATCTCTTGAAGTTGTGCCTTCTGAAAAAGTAAATCATGGATCCAAGAATTTTGCTCAAATAGGCCGGACTTTGAGTAATGACAAGCGTTGATCCGTTGACATTACCTTGTTTGTTTATATCTGTCACCCTTATTTGGTGTTGCTTATTAAGCCAGAAGGATTTGTAAATTTGCATGGCAAATCAATACAATGTTTATTGACCCAACAAAAAAAATTGTTAGGCAAGTCCAAATGATTGAAGATTTAAGTTTGAGAATTAGTCTTTCCAAATTTTTGAGTAATCAGTATCCAAATTTATAAGACTTCCTTTCATAGCTTAATTTCTCTTAAATCCCATTATGCATGAGAGCATTCTGTGCCTCATTGTGCATTAAGTAATATCTATTGGAATGTTGCAAAAAGGCCAATATNTGAGTAAGACTTCCTTTCATACCTTAATTTCTCTTAAATCCCATTATGCATGAGAGCATTCTGTGCCTCATTGTGCATTAAGTAATATCTATTGGAATGTTGCAAAAAGGCCAATATAGTCACTAGAATATCTTATACTTCCTTAAAAATTAATCACATTACAATAATATTTGTCTGGACAGAGTATCAACCCTGATGTGCTTGTCATCACCAAGTATCAATCCTTTGGTAGTAGAAAGACCTTTAAGACAAATGCATGATTTTTTCACTAGGGGCGCATATGATCAGCACACCCTATACCCCTACGCGTAGTTGGGAAGATTATGAACAAAAAGCTCGACAAAACCCCAGCTCCTAGCGGCAGATTCACCAGCAAAACATTCTCGTTAGCTCCTCCTTTAGGAAAGAAACAATTTTGTACGTCAGAATCGCTAAAAGCAAAGATCAAGAACACAAAGAGCGACGTGAATGCATGAATAAAGTCTATGCAACTGATCTTAAACTTGATTAACTCCTCCTTTATGTTATTCTTGTCTCCCTCATGATTATCGTAGTTAAAGATGTATAAACCTTTAAAGGTGGCAATTCCAAAGTAGAGCTTCCCATCGGAGTCCACAAAGCTATCGGTGAAGGAGGAGAGAACACAGACGACAACACAAAATCCGATGAGAGAGGCTGTGAGGTATGTGTTGGCAAGTTGACAGGTGCCCTTGTTGGAGAATAAGGGTGAGAGGGCCTGAAATGCAAGGACAGTTCCGGTTGGTAGAAGGCTTGCAAGGTTTCCAGCACTAGCGAGGGTTTTGTGCACTGGGTGCGAGGAAGCCCGAGTGGGAAGTGATGGCGGCAATGGAGCTGGTGCTAGTGTCGATGGGTGCGGCAGTACTAAAGAGGGTTCATTCATGGGCAGAGAGAGAGAGAGACAGAGGGAGAGATTGGGTTTGTTATTGTTTAGTTAAATTTTGTTGGATATGATGTTAGCATATAAATGGACATTTAGATCGACAAGCAAGCAAGACAGTGAGATTTGGGGTGGAACATGCGTAAGCATGTTAGTTTGTGCACAATAAGCATGTGAGAGAAGGCCTTTTGAGAGGTTTCCCTAATAGCCTGGTTTGTATGCCTTAAGAAATATAACATGTGGTTTGCATTACATTTTAGATGATACTTAGGTAATCAGACTTTGGAGATACAGCAAAAGCAATTCATTTTGGGAATTTTCCAGTTTCAATCCCAGAAGTTTCAATCACTCNACAAATATAACATGTGGTTTGCATTACATTTTAGATGATACTTAGGTAATCAGACTTTGGAGATACAGCAAAAAGCAATTCATTTTGGGAATTTTCCAGTTTCAATCCCAGAAGTTTCAATCACTCATGATCTGAAGTATTTAAGTTTAACACCACACAATATTCTCTTTCAGCTTATTTCTATTATTTTCTTAGAAATGTACTTGTAAAATTCACTCAGACTTCAGAATTTTGGATGGCAAGTGATAAGAGTAGGCACATCCGGGTAGTGGCGGAGCCAGTCAAGTACTTGGTGTGCATGTGCCTCCCTCAATTTTGTTGTCTTATCATTATACATACCTATTTTAAAAACATATCTACTTATGTCCATCCTATTATTTTCTTGAAAAATGCTATTGAGATCTAATTTGATGACCTAATCCGATATAGTCATTCAATTAGAAACAAACTCCATCTAATGTAGCAACTCGCAACTAATACAACGGCTACATTGAATTATATCCCTAAATTAGTCCCTATAACATTATTCTATTTTCTTATCATATCAATTAGTATACACTCATACTTAAATGACTAATAGTTGACACACTTCGGACATATTCGAATTAATTTGGACATATTGAGTTCATTTTAAAATCTTTAGCATTAAGTTTGAAACATAGCTGAGATTTGTGATTTTGCTCACAAAATTTTAAAATAAAAAAATACGTGATATATCCTTTAATATAGGTATAAGTGGTTTTGACATTAATTTTATTAGTCAATAATAATAAAGTCATCAGGCAAAACTATCACAGTATAAGAATTTGCTAGGTCAATTGTAAGCAACTACAATTAACTTCATTTTCAATAACAAACTATAATTAATATTTGTTCTGTTGTACACATGTTTGCATAAAATTTTTAAGGATTATTATTGAAATAAAGAGTATAAATGTGTCATCTTTTTCTATTGATTAGGATAAAACGTTTTAGGGTGCCCTTGCTAAAATATTTTTCTAGCACCGCCACTGCATCCGGGCGAACCAAATTCTAGCCCGCCCGAAAAAAGGATGGTGCATAGTTTGTTCATTGGGCAAATCTCAGTTAGCCTATAACGAGGTACTCATCGGGCTGGCTTTAATGGTCCTTAAACGGGTCATAATCGGTAAGGGAAGCGTGTAGGTGGATGGTTTCGCATTCCAAAGAGAGTCAATGGATGAGCTCATAAGTAATCCAAGTTGTATACGAAATAGTTCATAGAAACGTTACAATAGATTACAATACGAGAGTGAAGAGTGTGTANCTTGTAAAATTCACTCAGACTTCAGAATTTTGGATGGCAAGTGATAAGAGTAGGCATCCGGGTAGTGGCGGAGCCAGTCAAGTACTTGGTGTGCATGTGCCTCCCTCAATTTTGTTGTCTTATCATTATACATACCTATTTTAAAAATATATCTACTTATGTNCATGTAAAATTCACTCAGACTTCAGAATTTTGGATGGCAAGTGATAAGAGTAGGCACATCCGGGTAGTGGCGGAGCCAGTCAAGTACTTGGTGTGCATGTGCCTCCCTCAATTTTGTTGTCTTATCATTATACATACCTATTTTAAAAACATATCTACTTATGTCCATCCTATTATTTTTCTTGAAAAATGCTATTGAGATCTAATTTGAGGACCTAATCCGATATAGTCATTCAATTAGAAACAAACTCCATCTAATGTAGCAACTCGCAACTAATACAACGACTACATTGAATTATATCCCTAAATTAGTCCCTATAACATTATTCTATTTTCTTATCNACATATCTACTTATGTCCATCCTATTATTTTCTTGAAAAATGCTATTGAGATCTAATTTGATGACCTAATCCGATATAGTCATTCAATTAGAAACAAACTCCATCTAATGTAGCAACTCGCAACTAATACAACGGCTACATTGAATTATATCCCTAAATTAGTCCCTATAACATTATTCTATTTTCTTATCATATCAATTAGTATACACTCATACTTAAATGACTAATAGTTGACACACTTCGGACATATTCGAATTAATTTGGACATATTGAGTTCATTTTAAANTCATATCAATTAGTATACACTCATACTTAAATGACTAATAGTTGACACACTTCGGACATATTCGAATTAATTTGGACATATTGAGTTCATTTTAAAATCTTTAGCATTAAGTTTGAAACATAGCTGAGATTTGTGATTTTGCTCACAAAATTTTAAAATAAAAAAATACGTGATATATCCTTTAATATAGGTATAAGTGGTTTTGACATTAATTTTATTAGTCAATAATAATAAAGTCATCAGGCAAAACTATCACAGTATAAGAATTTGCTAGGTCAATTGTAAGCAACTACAATTAACTTCATTTTCAATAACAAACTATAATTAATATTTGTTCTGTTGTACACATGTTTGCATAAAATTTTTAAGGATTATTATTGAAATAAAGAGTATAAATGTGTCATCTTTTTCTATTGATTAGGATAAAACGTTTTAGGGTGCCCTTGCTAAAATATTTTTCTAGCACCGCCACTGCATCCGGGCGAACCAAATTCTAGCCCGCCCGAAAAAAGGATGGTGCATAGTTTGTTCATTGGGCAAATCTCAGTTAGCCTATAACGAGGTACTCATCGGGCTGGCTTTAATGGTCCTTAAACGGGTCATAATCGGGTAAGTTTGGATGGGCTAAAACTAAGAGAGATGAAGCTTAAAATTCAAATTGGCAATTGACTTTAAGGCAGCAAGAAAAATGAACTAGAGAGTCATGGTTATCAGTAAGGGAAGCGTGTAGGTGGATGGTTTCGCATTCCAAAGAGAGTCAATGGATGAGCTCATAAGTAATCCAAGTTGTATATGAAATAGTTCATAGAAACGTTACAATAGATTACAATACGAGAGTGAAGAGTGTGTACACGTGCATATATAAGAGTGTGTTTAGAGAAAGAAGGCATTTAGTGCACTAACGGGGTGTTATTCTGAGTAATTTGAGAGGCAATGGTCTTTTTGTGAAGATAAGGACAAGGGTCTTTGGGTACAATTGTCGAGTAACTCTATTTGGACTTAATTTGTCGATTTAATTTGTTATAATTATTGCTAGCAATTCACCAATTGTAGGGGATTAAGTTAACAAACTAAGTTAAGAAATTATATTTGAATAGTATTATTGCGCCCAAAATAGGAGTAAATATTCGATGTATGGTGATAGTTCATCAATAATATTACATGGTATTATCACCGTCTAATTAATAAGAAGTTAACAATTGGTCAAGTGAATCCAATAACAACCGCTTAGTAGTCACATCACCACAAGACACCAAGGGGACGAAACAATGCTTTTCTTCCTGCTCGTCCCCTTGATGAAAATATGAGTTCAGAATGAGAAAATTTATGGCAGAAGATATAGCAATGAAATAAAACCTATAGAAAAAATAAGATTACTGACATGACACGTGCCCTTACACCTTTTGTGAAATCACAAATAAAGCTTCAGTACAGATTTTAAGTTGCTTTTGACATAACCTCTAAAAATAAAAGTACGTTTCAAAGATGGACTTTAAAAAATAAACTTCACAGGATGACCAATTGTGAATATTTGGTAAACTGGTGTTTAAAAGTGCTTGTAAATAAAAAAGTACCTCTATATTAAAACATGTTTGGTGACAATTTCGTAGAAGNACCAATTGTGAATATTTGGTAAACTGGTGTTTAAAAGTGCTTGTAAATAAAAAAGTACCTCTATATTAAAACATGTTTGGTGACAATTTCGTAGAAGCGTAGAAATATCATATTTGTCTAACCATATTACCCTTAATCTTTTTGGACACCCAATTAGTAATATATTCCCGTCAAAACAAAATAAATATGTTTCAAACACTAGCATAATTATTTCAACATCAATCTAAGAATATTCGTATATGCACACACACACACGAGGTTTAGTAGTATGTTCTAAAAACAATCATATAGATTATGTTTTTTGGTTGTACTAACAATATTCATTACTTAATTAAATAAAATTAAGGACAAGTTTATTTATCATGTTTCTGTTTTATTTCATTTTAATATACATGATATAGTCCATAGAGTATAAGTTAAGAAGATAGTTTTTCAAGGAGTTAAAAAGAGGAAATATATACTTCTTAGTACTTAACTCTTAAATATTCCTAATAATAGGATTACTATGTGGGCACTATGTAATCCGGATATACTAGCATACATTATGTTTGCTCATATTTGATTTGAGGTGACTCGTCCAAGTCACTAGTGTAGGGGCTCTAAAATGGGTGTGTGGTGTTTGTTAAAGAACAAGTACACTAAACGTGGTCGTTGACTAACGTGGAATTTTACATATCTGTCAATGTTAAATTCTAAAGTTACAGTAATACGACTGATCCTTAGACTTACGACGCTATGGTTGTCTTGTGTATGAACTTATATGCTTTAACTTTACAACATATTCATATACTATGTAATTTGGATATGTATTGTTGGACATAGTTATACATGCATGTAGACTTATGAGTGTACAACATGAAATCTATTACCCTTAGTAAATAAATGAAAAATATCCTATGTGATCTTCTAGAATATGACTCAAAGAGCCCTTAACCAAGGTAGAATGATAATTAAAAGAAAAG